CTAAACTGTTTCAGTTGTAAAACTGTCAAATTACCACATTTTTTTTCTTGTTTAATTTGTCATAATACCTGTTTTTTAAGCAATAAATTTAAGTAGATTTGACCATATTTTTATTTCTGTTTTAGAAAAGACCACTCTCCAATTCTTTGTAGTAACTATAGCTTAACTATTCAGAACAACTTCTAAAAAAAAAAAAAAAAAAAAAAAATCGAGCTACATCGGCATTTTTGTGATCGGACTCGCCCCAGTAAAATTGTGGTAAACGTTCAAATTTTAGGTGTTATGCTTGTTTTTAAATATTTTAAGTTGTTTCATTGGATTCGTTGGCCCAAAATATGTAAAGATACAAATTTTCAGCTTTCCAACACACATATAACAGAAACTAGGACCAAAACCATTTTTAAAAATGGCAGATTTTTGTTGGTTGGAGGCAAACTTAAAATAGCTATATCTTAGGAACCGATTGAAATTAGACGATAAAATTTTCAGGATGTTCATAATTTACTAAAATCTTTAAGTGGTTTAAAAATCAGCAAAATCTGAGACTTATGGTTGCATTTTCAAAAAAAATTGGATGTTTTCACATGGAATCTCCCAGTACTGACTACTTTCTTACTTGGGATTCTTTTCTTTATCTCTATAATTCTCAATACCATCCTTGTATAGAATACTACTGCCATATCTGGAGCGGATCTTTTAAAGATGCCCTTTCTCTTTTAGATAAGTTGCCAAAATACATTGTAAATACATAGTTGGATCTGTTCTTGCAGCCAAACTTCAACCATTATCACATCATTGTAATGTGACTTCTCTTTCTTTTTTCTATAAATAATATAACGAGCTCTGTTCTAAAGAACCAGCCTCTCTTGCGTCTTCTTCATGTTACTTGTCATTCAATTAAGTCTTGTCCATTTACTGTGACTCATATAACTTGCAATCTTTTAGGTTGCCTGTTAACCGTGATCTTGCTTTATAAAATATATTTTTTCTCTTCCAGTTACTTCCTACTCTTATAGTGGTTGCTTGCAGCCTTGTTGAAAGAGAAGAAAAAAAAATGATTATGTTTTCTGAAATGTTGTTTATAGTTCATAAAGTTGTAAAATGTTTATAGAAAGATATTACTACAAAATATATTCAAATAAATTGAAAATAACTAGGCACCTCAAAATTTTATTTGACAACTAGGAGATAATTTCTGTTATGTATCATTGTAAAATTTAATCATGGTGATTAATTTCCCAACAACAAGACCAGGTCAAATATATAACATTGAAGTAAATGCTATATTAGTATAAACAAAATTTTAATTTTTTTTATTTCTTGAATTTTTAAGAAATTGATATTTGGCTTGAAACCTTTAACTGCCTAAGCAATCCCCACCATGTCCCTGGTAGTACCGCGCTCAACTCATTTCTCCGTGCAGCGGCCTTGTTCCTCAAGGTTTGTGTTTCGGAGTTATAGAGTTGAGAGAGGGTTATAGCCACAAAATAAGTAGCCTCCTTGCCTGTAGTGGCCTTCTCAGCCTTGAGGAGGTGAAGTAAAATAAAAAAAAATAAAAAAAAAGTTCATTTGTTTAAAATAATTTTGTGCTTTTTAAGTAATAAAATTAATTACTTGGCTATTTTGTATTTCTATTTCAGAGCAGGCATCTGTCTAATTATAAGTGATAACTCTAAATAAACCATTATAGATAACTTCTGACAAAAAAAAAAGGAAATACATCCGAAATTATATATATTTTTTAACTCTCTGTGTGAAATTATAAAAAATCATTAAAATTTAGTTACATAAACACTAAGTCATTTTTTTTTTAGAGTATTTAGGTTCCTTTTGACTATACTATTGTTTCTGTTTTAAAAACAACCATTATCTCTCAAATTCATTGTAATAACAACTAAACTATTCAAAACTTTAAACAACTATAAAAACAAAAAATAAACTAAAAATGATTAGGGTAAAATATTCAGAGAAAATCCAGGAAATAAATTAATGAGGAATATAAAAATATATTTCTACTAATTTTGCTTTTAGCTGAGTTGATTTTAATTTTTTTTTAACTGTTATTAATTTTTGGAAAATTAATGAGTGAAAAAGCTTAAATAACAAACATATACAAAAATATATTCCTAAACTTGTATGCATAGAAAACATTTTTGATATCCAGAAAAACTAAAAGTTAAGAAAAATATCTCAAAAAAACATAATACCTGCTGATCTAAATATGCTTTTAATGTTAGGAAATATATATATATATATATATATATATATATATATATATATATATATATATATATATATATATATATATATATATATATATGTATATATATATATATATATATATATATATATATATATATATTGTATATATATATATATATATATATATATATATATATATATATATATATATATATATATATATAAATTAAAATTTAAGGACTTTTTTCTTTTCGTTTTTTTTATGTTTTTTACAGCAAATATTGCTTTTTTCGCAAAAAAACAGCCAATTTTCTGCTTAAGTTTTTTCTAGAATAGGTCATGTATATATATATATATATATATATATATATATATATATATATATATATATATATATATATATATATATATTAGGGTGTTTCAAAAATAGGTTTACAAAAAAAAAAAAGAGCCCTAGCTTATCATCTGCCCAGACCATGATTTAGTACTAAAAATTTTTTTTTTTTTTTTTTTGAAAACTCTAAGGGTTCCTTCAGGGGGTAAAAGAGGCAATTTTTTGGGCATTTCGTACCATTTTTAAAACTGTTTGTAGGAAGTCTTGACATTATTATTTTTATTTTTTTAATATATATTTATGTTTGTAAAGACTTATTTAATACAAATAACATGGGCTCTATTCTCAAAAAAATATTAAAAATTTATAAAAATTGCTTCAAAAAACCCTAAAATTCATAAATATTTAACAAAAAAAAACATTTTTACATTGAACATAGTTTTACATTTTTAAAATGAAGATTTAAATTTTTTCAGTAATTAATACGTTTTCTTGAAATGTATTTTACATTAAATTTTTATTTTTAGATTATATTTTCAAAAGATTAATAAAATGACACCAAAAAGAAAGTTAGAAGTATTAGATTGGATAAAATATTTTTAGTTAAAAAGTTAATCGAAAAACTTCCAGCTAAAAAATTTGCAACTGCTAAAGAGATAGTTCAATATTATCTCTTTCAACGAAAGTCAAAGAGTGAAGCAAAACTGAGGTTCCTCGTAGGTTGTCCGAATAAAAGTTCTTCTTTTATACCTAATTGTCCAGTTGATCAGTCTGACTGCTGCATACTGTCCAAACTAATGGTTCCTTGGATACTTGGTGGATTTAGAGTGCTTACAATACAAAAGTTAAGGTAATCTTTTCAATAAGTTCTAAATCATTTTAGTCCATGTTTAATCCATAATTATATTATTATATAATATTTTTACAGGATTAAAATTGAGAAATTGTTGAAGGAATGGATGAAATTAAAAGATCAAAGATACAGAACAAATCCTGCTGAAATAAAAAAAAGACATTTATTTGAAGAGCAAATGAGTAAAGTATTTTGGATTGGAAAACATCCTAATGTTATGTTTGAGGAAATATTAAAAGATAAAATGAGAAAATTGAAAGACAAGGAAGAAGATATTGCTTTCTTAAAAGACCAACTGGATGAAAGAAAAGGAAGTCTTGGAGGCAGAGATAAAAGATATGAATATTCTGTAATCAGAAGTAAAAGAAGCACATCAAAGTTCAGTAAAAATCCGTCAGTAGAATTAAATAAGAATGATTCAGATTATCTAAGTTCTGCTAGTTATACTAGCGATGAATTAGGTGAAGAAACAGATATTGACTTTGATTTTAATGAGCATCCTAATGATCAAAATTCTGTTCTGCTTCCTAAAAATATCCTTCAGTCAACCGCTCATACAGCAGTGGGAGAAGGTATAACACCCCATCAACATACAGCATTGATTAGTAGTGTTATTGTTATGTCTGGTGGTTCTGTAGCAAACTTTAATTGTTCTAAATCCACATCTTATAGAGCTGCGGAGAACATAATATCTGCCAGGGCAAAAGAAATAAGAGAATACATAAAAAACATTGTAATATTATCAGATTCACTAATGACTATACACTTTGACGGAAAAATAGTTAATGAACTAACAGAGAGAAAGCAATTTAAAAAAGATAGAATTGCAGTTTTGCTAAGAATTGATAAAAAAACAGAACTACTTGGCATTCCTCCAATAGATTCTAGTTCAGGGGTTAATCAAAAGCAAGCTATAGTGGAATTGATGGAGTATTTTGGATTAAAAGATAAGGTCAAATGTCTCTAATTCGACACAACTTCAGCAAATACAGGAAGATAGCAAGGTACTTGCATGAAATTAATTCAACAAGTTCAACGTCCATTGTTGTTGATTGCATGTCGACATCATGTAATTGAACGACACATAGCCCATTTCTGGAAGATTTACCCAAGCAGCGAAACTTCTGGTCCAGAAAACAAACTATTTGAAGATTTAAAACAAAACTGAAACAGTATAGATGCTGAAACTAAGGAACTGAAAAGAATAATAATACCACCTGGAACATGGATATATAATCAAAAATTAGCTGCTGTTCAGTTTTGTAATAATGTGATCAGTTTGAAGATCTTCAAAAAGGTGATATTCTTATTTTTATTAATTTGATTCCTATTCTAACTTTTTAACTTTTAAAAAGTAACATTTATTACTAATTTAAAAGGTATCAAAAACATTTTAGGACAGAAATATAAGAAAAGAATACCACGAGCTAGCTGAACTTACTTTAATGGTTTTATCATCAAATAGATTTAAATTTCATTTACCGGGACCAATTCACCATTCAAGATTTATGGGAAAAGGTTTATACTATTTAAAGTTGTATCTTTTAATGAATGAAATCCAAAACCTAACTGACAAACATAAGGAAGAAATAACTGGTATGGCTTTGTTCACAAGCCTTTTTTATACAGAGTGGTTTCTAAAAGCAGAGTTAAGTTCTTTGGCACCAACACAGGTATACAGCCTTTTAATATTTTATTAATAAGTTAGAAAGCTCAATATTGGTTAAAGTGATTCAAAATGTTAATTAATGTTATTTATTAGGATATAAAAGCTTATTGGCAAATGAAAAGGTTTGAGGAATGGAATCTACTTGGCTCTCGAGCTGTTGCTAACTCTATTCTCAGACATACTTGGTATCTGGATCCAACTTTAGTAGTTTTTGCCCTAGCAAATAAAGAATGTAGGGAACGTGGTGATATGGCCAAAAAACTATATAGTTTACAAAGATGTCCAAGTGAAAGTTTTCCTTTGGAACGCCAGGTAATGGACCAAGCTATATTGAATAGCCTCAACTTCAGTAAAGATGAGCCCCCTAGTTTGACTCCACTAGTAACAGAAAAGTCGTGGCTTGTTTTTGACATGCTTAGGCATGGAAAAGCAGAAACTCAATGGATGAAGACTCCACCAGAAGTTTGGAAATTTAATGATTATTATCTAGAATTTAGAGCAACAGTTAAGGGACTTGATGTTGTTAATGACTGCTCTGAGAGGGCAGTTAAGTTAGTTCAAGACCTAATAAACAGAGCATATTCTGAGGAGAAAAGGCAGGACACATTTCTATTTACAAATAGTTATAAGAAAAACAGAAAAGGCAGGAAAAAAACAGATTACGAAAAAGCCGCAAATAAAGACTAGTTTCATTTTTTTGTTTATAACAATTTTTCAAGAAAGAATAGAGAGAATCATAACTTCACTAGGATTTCTGTATTTTAATATAAAAGAAACTTTACTACTGATTTAAAATCTTTTACAATTTTATACTTTTAATTTTTTTTAAAGTTTGAGAACAAACCGTATGGTTTTAACTGTTGATTACAAAAAATCTTCATTCCCTGTCCAGGCCCTCCCTTTAATATATTTCTCAAAGTAACCCCTGAAACTGATATAAATGAGAAATCAATATAGTACTGTATTAAAAGTAAATAAAAACATAATGTAATTTTTAGGTTTTAAATATAATTTTAAAATATTTTGTACTTTTATAAGCTTTACTAAATATTTATGAATTTTAGGGTTTTTTGAAGCAATTTTTATAAATTTTTAATATTTTTTTGAGAATAGAGCCCATGTTATTTGGATTAAATAAGTCTTTACAAACATAAATATATATTAAAAAAAAAAAAAAAATTAATGTCAAGACTTCCTACAAACAGTTTTGAAAATGGTACGAAATGCCCTAAAAATTGCCCCTTTTACCCCCTGAAGGAACCCTTAGAGTTTTCAAAAAAAAAAAATTTTTAGTACTAAATCATGGTCTGGGCAGATGATAAGCTAGGGCTCTTTTTTTTTTTCAGACATGACCTATTTTTGAAACACCCTAATATATATATATATATATATATATATATATATATATATATATATATATATATATATATATATATATATATATATATATATATATATATATATACATATATATATATATATATATATATATATATATATATCCTAACATTAAAAACATATTTAGATCAGAAGAGATTATGTTTTTTCTGGATATTTTTCTTGACTTTTAGTTTTTCCGGATATCAAAAATGTTTTCCACACATACAAGTTTAGGAATTTTTGTATATATTTGAAATCGCCTTTGTGTATATATACATATATACACAGAGGCAATTTTACAGGGGGTGTGAGGGTGTTAACCTCTCCCCCAAGAAGGTAATTTTCATATAACTCTATATATACATATGCATATATATAAATATATATATATATATATATATATATATATATATATATATATATATATATATATATATATATATATATATATATATATACATATATATATATACATATATATATATATATACATATATATATATATATATATATATATATATATATATATATATATATATATATATATATATATATTTATATATATATATATATATATATATATATATATATATATATATATATATATATATATATATATATATATATATATATATATATTCTTATTAGTAGAGATTTTTTTTTATGATTAACTAATTTTTTTTTTTATAAATAATCATTACTATTATTTGTTAATAGAAATATTGATAAAAAATTTTTCATTATATGTATAAACTTTAAGATTTATAATCAAAACAAATTAAACAAAAGTAAAATAATTCCAAAATAATTTATTTTATTTACTAATATTATTATCGTTATTAGTAATAACGATAATGCTCTATAAATTAACTATAATAATAACAAAATAATGACAATAATAACAATTATAACTACAAATAAAAATATTTTGGAGGAAAAAAGAAGATAAAGATAAGACTATTTGAAAGCAACAGTCAAATTAAAAATCTAATAAATAAAAAGACAACATAATATAAAAGTATAATAAATATGAAGTCGGCACTGTTTCAGTGGCCAAACCCTATTATTTTATTACTAATTTTAATAGAGAACTTTATTCTGATTAAGAATTGAATATAAAAATTGACATAAAAATTTGAGGAAAGTACTCTAATTCGATGTTGAAGTTTTAATCTCTAATTTGATGTTGAAATTTGATGTTCACTAAAAACGCAATCGCCATTTTCTTTAACTCGAGTATAGTTAGTCAAGTAAAAAACAGCCCGGTTTTTATAAAGACTTTTAAGTTAGAGCAAAACCCATTCGTTTCAATTCTGACCCAAACCCTAACCCTGACACTAACCATATACATTTAAATGCGCCAATCCCTATTTGTCAGTCGCTGTATATACATTTAATAGTGTCAATCCCTATTTGTCAGTCGATGTATGTACATTTAATTGCGCCAATCCCTATTTTTCAGTAGATGTATGTATATTTAATTGGGCACTTTTTTCATATTTTAGAGAAAGAATGTTACGGTAAAGTGGGTTGTTTTTTTCCTGCTTTTATCAAGGTTTATAAGAAAGGGGATTTCATTTTTAGTGGAGAATTGTATAGGGAATCTGAATCTAAAAATATAAAAACAAAACATGCTTTGTTGGGGAGAACGCTTAGTTTTCATCAAAAAAATTTCAACTAAAATAATTAAAAAGTGATTAACAATCATAAATCAAAAAATTTTTTAATTATTTTATAAACTAAACATAAACTATGTTGAACTTTATGAAAATACCATATTTTGTTAAAAAGTCAATTAAATAAACTCATAACGGGGCTTTTGTGAAGGTTGCTTTCAGAAAAATAATTAAGTTTTTTTATATTTTAGACAGTGAATGTTATCGTAGGATGCGCTGTCTTTTCTAAAACTAATAATAAGTCAAACACTTTCATTATAACAAACAGTATATTATATACTAATACATTATATAATATATATTATATAATACTGATATCTTTATTAAAATTTAGATATAATCAACAATTATTAGTTTATAAATTTTATTTAAAATTTGTGAGTCCAACTAAGATATATTAAGCATTGCTTGTGCTCATAAAACCCCTGCTAATTTCTTGTTCTCTTGTATATCCAACTCGCTTCTCATGGAAATGTATTTTTGCAAAAATAGGCGTTTCCCCCAACAACACATGTTTTATTTTTTTTTCAGATTCAGATACCCTATTAATAATCTCTACAAAAAATGAAATCTCCTTACTTTTAAAGCTTGTTAAAAAAAAGAAAAAAACAACACACTTTACCGTAACATTCTTTATCTAGTAAAAAAAACCTTCACAAAAATCCTTTTCTGTGCTTATTTTTACAACTTTTTGAACCGAATAAATAATTTTCTTAAAATTTAACTTAACAATTATTGAGTTAATCAAAAAAATTTTTTTTTTTTTTTTTTTTAAATATAGTTTTGCCATGTTAATTAGTCACACTTTATTCATTTTTCCGTTCAAAACAACGCTGACCTACTCAGAAAGACATTATTAATTTTTTTTTTTGCAGATTCGGAATCTCCACAAAATTGTTCACTAAAAGTGACCTTGCTGTTTTTTAAATTAAAAAAAAAAATTGACACACTCTACTGAAAAAAGCATTAACTTTATTGGATTACTCCCATAATTACCATATTGTTTATTTTTATACTACAAATGTAGTTATACAGTGGATTTTTTATTTGGTTGATAGTGACACCTGAAATGCCTGGCAACGGTTCATTTTGCATAGTTACTTGCTTAAGTAACTTTTCTTAAAGCATCAATGTTCAAATCTAGACTAATATTAATGTGGCTGTCTGATTAAAAATATTTTTATGTATTTAAAAAACTTAACGCATTACCAATTACTGTTTTTAAGAATTTTTATGCAGTTCCAAGACTACATAATCCATATAAAAAAGTAGATGAAGCTTAAACCTTTTTGTGTATATAATAATATAAAATTTTTAGTTTAAAATAACGAACCAAAACTATTATATTTTTAGAATTTTAAGACAGCTTTAGCTTCTTTTTTTGAACATCTCAAACTACAACTAGATGCAAACAATAGTTCTTAAGGTGAATACGATGTTACAAATGGCGTCAATCTTCTTTTACTACTTAAATCTTCTTTTACTACTTACTCTTCTTTGTTTTACTACTTAAAGTATGAAAATTTACCTGGAGCCAAATACTACAGTTGGATGAGAGTTTTCTTTATCAATGGAAGCAGTTAGTAGAATTTTCTTATTCTCAAATACAAAATGAACTGATATCGGTTCAATTTGTAGTCATTGTTATTCTCTTCAAAATAAATTTTACAGTTTTTGCATATATACCTTTGTCAAAGATGCTTTATGAAATTAGGCAGGTTACTATTTGCAGTTTAGTTGTTATTTACAACTGTATCAAAAATATTAGGATTAGCTATGTTCAATTTTCTTTTATTATATATGAACAAATATCAATATTATTCATGATTTTAACTATATAAAAATATAAATTTCATTTACAAAATCTTATTAATAAGCAGGGTCGCCAAGAGGGAGGGGCAATTGAAGTAGTTTGCCCCGGGCATTACAGTCCATGGGGCATCACATACGCCAAAAAATTATTGAAATAATAAAAAATTTAAAGTTTCAGCAAACTTTGTGTAATAATTTCGTTCTCCTTATAAATTTTCTTTACATTTAAAGTATATTAATTATTACTTTACAAGGTTTTCATTTTCCTTCTGAACAAACGCGTTTCTATTCATAGATATATAAGTTATATAATTTATACATAATATATATAAAAGGTATATAATTTATATATCTATGTTTTTATTGGCCTTTTGTTTGGGTAATAAAGTAAAGACTTTTTTCTTATTAGTTTTTTTAGAGATAAAATAAAACTGAAGATGAAACAAAGTGATGGAAAGCAAATTTATAATGCATTCTTGGTGTCACAATTTTCCTGGCATTAAGAAATTTTGCGTTTAGGAGTAAGAGGATTGTTATTAAATTTTAAATTATACTTTGCATTATTTTATTTACATTTTAAAAATCAAAATAATAAGTTATAATTGTATATAACTACGGATTATTATTTTTGATAACTATTGATTTGCAATTAGGATCCAATCAAAAAGTGTTCAAATATGGGAATGGAAAGTTCTTGGAGCTTATAGCTAAGAACCAAAATGAAGAAAAGCGTATGCAAGCCTATTCCTTATCCTGAAAGTTACAGAATGAATTTATTGGGTATAATGGTTTAAATCCATATATTTGACCATCATCACGGACAGCACTCGCGATGCGACCCACAGCGGTTAAATTTCTTTCATTTTTTATTTTTTGCATTTTATGAAATGCAGAAAATGAAAAATAAAAGAAATTAAAAATGAAAGAAATTAATGAAAAATGAAAAAAATTAATGAAAAATGAAAGAAATTAAAAATGAAAAAAATTTATTATCCCTTCAGGGATAATCATCTGTTAAAGGTCAAAAAAAGGTTTCTTAAACTAAAATTACTTGAGAAGAAAAAAGGATCTGATTTAACAAATTTGATATAAATGAGTTAGAAGAGATTGAGTTCGACACAAAAACTTGTTGTGGTCAAGGCTAATATAGCAGCTATTTACAATAGAGTTAAAGCTTTGATTAGGCAGAATAATCAACAAATAATTTTCATTCCTTGCTCTACTCACTGTTGCAGTGTCGCACTGTCACTGTCACTCAGTGTTGCACTGTCACTATTGCAGTACAAGCTATTGAATCATCGGTTTGTGCAAAATCCTATTTTGAAAAAATTTAAAAGCTATTCAAGCTGTTCAGCTGCAGCCCGGTTTGTAGAAAAATTCTTCAGTAGGAAACAGGCCAATCATTAAACAAACTTTCTGTTACACAATGGAGCTTAAGGGTTGAAGCAGTCGAGCCGCTAGCATAAAAGCAAAAAAGATCTTGAAATTAATACATCGTCCAAAAGGTTAAACTTTCTAATTAAAAGTAGTAATGAAGTGAATTGTCTATTTAAATAGAAAAATTCTTTTAAATTTTTTGCTTTCACTACTTCCTGGTTCACATGATGGTGAACCAGGAAGTAGTGAATTTTGATGGTAGTTAAAAATATCTTCAGCTTCAATCCACTTAACTCACTCTAGATGATGAAGTAAATATTTTGATTTGGCCTTTTGACAGATCTGGATTGAAACCGTTTATCTTGGTACCTAATTATACTTGATAAAGGCAACAGAAGTAGCAAAGGTTTTGAAATTTGACAAAACTATAATTGCTGTGAAGAGAACCTGATGAAACTGCTAGTTACAACCACGAAAAAGCATCAAAAAACTTTGGGTGTAATGTCTTCAATGTTGCACTCGACAATCTGACTGTTCAAATGAGATCAAGATTTAAAGTTATATAAGAGAAATTTAACAAGTTTTTATTCCTTTAATCTTTACTGAAATCTCAAACAGACAAAAATCTAGGTTTAAAAGCTGAGAATCTGGCAAAACGTTACCCAGAAGACGTATGTAAATACGAATTTTCTTATAAAGTTTTTTATTTTTATTTTTCGTAAGTAGAAAAAAAAAATTTCATCAGTATTGTGCTACTTGATCATTTCAATTGAATCAGATTTAGCCAATAACTTTTTTTATGAAGTTGTTATTTTTGCCGCTACGTAGGCCAAGAAGTTCGATATTAAGACTAGTACCATAGTTTGTTTTTAAAAACCAAAACTAATTAAATGTGATTTTCGGTTTTCGGTGAAAGTAAACCAAAAAAGCAATACTAATTTACTTGGTATTTTTCATTTTAAGTTCTAGAGTTTAATAGGGCATCCATTAAACTTTTGGACGCGGGCATCACAAAAGCTCTTGGCGGGCCTGTTAATAAGTATTTTAAGATGTATTAATATTAAAATAAGTTTATAACATTAATCTAGTCTCACTGAAACCCAATTAAAGACCAAATCTTGTTGAGACCCAATTATTGTATAACCATTTAGAATAAAATACATATAATGTTTTTGTCACATCAATGATATATTGGTGGCTATGCGCCGAACCTGCCTATACAACAAATATGTTAAAACAAGGTAATTAGTAGGGATGTACCGAAGCTGCAATTTTGCCGAAGCCGAAGCTTCGGCTGAAGCCACTTTGCCGAAGCCGAAGCTTCGGCTTAATCTATACGTAATTTAAAGCTCAATTTACTTCACCACGGTGGTTTGAATAATCAAGTTGCTTTCAAAATTATATATCAATGTTTTAGGTTTCAATGTTTTGGCCTACATGCCCATTTTAGGAAAATTATAAAACAAAATCAATATTATAAAAAATTTAAACAAATTTTGTACAAAAATTTAGAGAGTGAAATTTAGAGTCTTAACTCTATATATCTAGCAGGTATAGGAAAGATTACATCACTAAATCTTAGACATTTACTGATACTTTAGGTAAATTATGGTCTATTCTTTGAAAGAATTTATAAAAATGTAAACACGTAAAATGTAAAAATATAAAAGTAGTCATTATTTTAATTTGAACACAAAATTTGGTATTTGTTTTAAATATTGTTAAAAAGTTGAATCAGTTGAACTAAGAAGCTGCAGTCTGTTATTTAGTTAATAAAAATTTATTCAATGAAAGCAGGCATATTACAATTTAAAAATGCAATCTGTTCTCCATGTTCGGGTAATAGTCTGTTTCTTTTTGCTTCAAATATGTTTCCAGATGTGCTAAATAAGCGTTCACTTTTTACAGATGAAGGAGGCGCGCACAAAACTTTCTTTGAAAACTTTGACAAATTCAACTTGTAAGTATCTTTATCAGAGAAAGTGTAACGGTATGCACTCCACCACTTATAAGGGCATTCATTCTTTGGCAGTATTGGAAGGCTCAAGTAGAAGTTGACTTCATCGGTGCTGATACATAAAATATAGGTGATAATTTTAGGTTTAAATTTTTAAAATATTACAATTTAATCAACTAAACAAAATAAAAGAATGCTGTTATCCGTCTTTTGAAATAAAAAAAATGGAGAATGAGAATAGAGATAAAAAAAGTATTTAATATTTAATGTATAAACAATATAAAAATCATAAATAGATTCTGTTTTCTTACCATTTTTCTTTGACAGTTAGAGTTTTTCCCATTGAACTAGTGTTTTTTTTCTTTTTTCTTCGTCCGTCAGAATTTTCTGAATTTTGTAGAGCATACTCATTTGCACCGATTTGGTGGAACAAGCTATATATGTCCATGCTCATTAGTTTTTTTTTTTTTAATGGAGAGCCATGGCCATCAAAATCTGAGTCGGACTGATGAATTTTAGATTCTGAAAATGAACTTAATGATTCTTCTGAGTCTGATCCACTACCTCTTGCTACACCAAATTCAATTTCTTTTACTTATTCTAAATGAGATTTGGAACAAAAACGGTAGAACTCTAAATGGAGTATTTCTATTATATTATGATTCTTGAGTTTTTCATTGAGAGATTCATGAGTATCCTTGTATTTTTGAAAACGACAGTTAAAATCTTTCTTAAGTTCATCAACAACAGTTTTTATTTCAGTTGCCGTGTCACAAGCGTAGTCTAGAAACTTTTCCATTGCATAGATAAATGGTATAATCTCTGATATACATGCCGTTTCTTTACTCATGTCTTTTGTAGTACTTTCGAAGTGTTTTAATATGCATACAAGCATTTCAGCAAGTTGCCATTGATTTTCCGTAGGATTTTTTGCATTTGCTTGATTTCTGGTAATGCAATACAATGTAATAGCTTTTTTCTGCTCAATGAACCTTTCAAGCATATAGTATGTCGAATTCCATCTTGTGGAAACATCTTAAATTATGTTATGCTCTGGCAATTTTAGTTGACTTTGAATTTCCTTTAGTTTAGCCACAGCACTAGATGAGTGGTGGAAATGTCCTGCTAATGCTCGAAAAACAGCTATTGTATCACTTGCTGTTCTTTGTTCTCTAAAAATCTTTTTCTGAATACAAAGTTGTAAAGTATGTATCAGACATGGAAGATGTTTATTGCCTAAATTTGACTCTTTAATGGCAGCCATTACATTGGCTGCATTATCAGTTAAAACTGCATGAATTTTTTCACGGGGAATTTCCCATGATTGTAGCGCTTCATTTATGAATTTACTTATATTGTGCCCTGTGTGCGACTCAGGGAAGTGTGTAACTTGTAAGATGACATGTTTAACTGTAAACTCATGCGTTACAAATCTAGCTGTTAAACTGTAATACGATTGAATTGTGTGCTGACAGGTCCAACCATCACTAGTTAAACTTAAGAAATCTGCTTGATCAAGCTCATATTTTACTTTGGCTTTTATGGTTTCATACATCAGGGGAATGACTTTTGTGGAGAAATACTTTCGACTAGGTATTGTATAGTTTGGAGCTAAATTCTTTAAAAGTCGGGTAAAACCTTTATCTTCAACAATACAGTATGGCTGCAAGTCTAAACATATCATTTCTCCAATAAGCTTGGTAAAAGCTTGAGCCTTAGGATTATCAAGTTGCCACAATTCTTTTCTTTGCAAAATCTCCCGCAGTGAGACCTGAAACAAATTCAACGAATTAAAAAAATTACTTAGCAACTTGTAACTAACAATGACCAGCGACGGATCTAAGTGGCGGATAGAGGTATGTATCTTTCCCCCCTCACCAGTACATTTATTATAATATTATAAGCTTAGATAAGTTAAGTTAACATTTTTCTATACAAAAGATAATTTTTCGACAAGACATGCCCCCATCCAGTCACAAAATCATGAATACTGAATAGTAAATGAATTCAGCTACAGTTAGCTGAGTTACCTGTGTCGATGCTTTTTGAAAAAAGGCAATTGTGTTATTAGACACACGCGAGCTTCCCTGCGTTTCATCTGTGGCAGTGCTGGTAATGATTTGCACTGATTCAGCAGAGCTTGTTCTATCTGAGCATATTGTTCGAGTAGTGCAAAATTGTTTTATAGACTTTTCATTTAGATTTGGTAAAGATTCGTGGTTAATAATTTTCTTCTGTTAAAGAATCATGCTATGTATATTATAATGTACTTTTTTCAGATGGTTTTGTAAATTTGTTGTTGACATGTTGTGTGCGTCTTTACTTCCTCTAGACAAAATCTTCTTGCAAAGTATGCAGATGGCTTTGCCAACATCTTCATCACTCACTTTAAAATAATTCCATAAGGGATTTTTACTTCGCGATGAGGTAGCCATAATGCGCTAATGGATAACTTAAAGTTATAATAACAATTCTGAAAATTGAAATAGAAAGTTTAATTATTTTCTTACCTTTAATAATATTTATTGAAATAAACAATATTCGTTCAATTTTTTGATTCAAATATTATTTGAATTAAAAAAAATCGAAGTCGTAAATAACCAATTAACCTATATTTGTAGAGCAGGTATATTTACTTTTACTAATGATCCAGCGTACAAAATCAAAAACAAACGCAATTGACTTACATTTCAATTGTGCTTTTCTGTGTAGTGTCTTTTCTGTGTAGTGTCTTTCTGTGTAGTGTCTTTCTGTGTTCTGTCTGTGACTTAGTAAAACAAACTTTCTGAATAAAAATTGTTTCGTGCGTTAAAATTAACTTATTGTATAGATTTTTAAAAATTTCGAGAATAGTTAACTCTCTTAACTCTCGTGCGCTATGTTTTAGTTACATCTAAGTAATTTTAAATAAAGATTTATTTCCAGGTTTAATTTTTAATTTTAATTTAATATTAAAAAATATATAATTTAACATAACTCGGATTTTAGAAGTTGATGCTAACTAATAACTAAATGCTAAAAAAATTAAATTTTAATAATTTTTCATTATTTTACTACCAACTAATGCATAAACAAATTTTATTGCTAAGCTCGAGTGATCATAACTAAATATTAGGGTTATGGTATTTAATTATATAAAGTTTACTATAATGTTACAGTTTAAATCAGCTTATATTGAGTGATTTTAAAAAAATCAATGTGTTTCATTAAGTAACTTTACTTTCTATCCGCTATCGTGCCGTTTTTGGCCGCCCTACACGCGGCCTTGCCACCTCCAAAAGCCGTTGCTGGATTCATTTAATCTTCGCAACTGTATAAATCAGAGGCTTATTTAAATTTCTTAGAAGAAGAAAAGAAAAAGAAGAATTTTGAACGTTCAACTACGTTTTATTCGGAAAACAGACAACGTGTGAACGTTTAAAAAATGTCTTCCTCAGTCGAATGCCAGCTTAGTAAGGTCCATTTTTTTGTCGAAGCCAATGATTCGGCAAAAAACGCCCATGGCTTCGGCCGAACCGAAGCTTCGGCAAAATTGCCGAAGCTTCGGCAAACCGAAGCCGAAGCCGAAGCTTCGGTACATCCCTAGTAATTAGACGCAAAGTTTCAAAGTCTTTAACATAAGTCACTAAACCAAAAAAATTAAAAGTATTTGCAGTTAAGTACACTTAAAAATTTTAATCATAGTATATTGGTGTTAGCAAAAAAACATTACATAAATCTTTTTTTAACATAAACTCATTTTTTCAACTTTCTTATATAGGCAGGTTTGGCACTTAACCATCCATATTAAATAACTAGATGTCTAACTTGCAGGATTTTATGAGACAAAAAGCAAAGCCTTTTTTTTTTTTGTTTATAACAATAGCCCGCCATTTGTAAAAAGGGCAAAAGCTGAAGCCGAGGTGTGGAAAAGTTAAAAATGCCAGTCAAAAGTTCCCAATAAATTAAAGATAATTCAAAAACACGTTTTAATAATTATAACTTACTTATAAAAGTTTTAAAAAGAGTCTATGTTTATTAAAAAGTATTTTAATTTATAAAAATGCTTTAAAAGCGTCTGTCGTTTTACTTTTCTATTCAATACTTTAATCCGTTTTTAATCGAAAATAAATTAAGGAATCATAAATTATTATTTTACAAGTATTATAATTTCCGCTTAAAACTTTTACGCAAATAGGGTTTAAAGTTAAAATATATTTACTTCATTTAAGAAAAGAAAAGCTAAAAATATATGTTTACAAATTTATTCCGCCATTTGTAAAGAAGGCAGAATGCGGCTTCACTTTTTAGACATCTAGTTATATAATATATCATTGCGCCACATAAAATCGGATACGTCATTTAACTTGTAAAAATCATTATAAAAATTATTAAAAATCATTATTGTAAAAATCATTATTATTAGAGACCAGGCGGAAATCCCCGGATTATAAACCAAATTTGTATTGATGATATACATATTGAACAATGTTTATTTCGAGGCTCAAATTACTGGACCGCTTTGGACCGTAAAAGTATTCAACTATATAAGGGGAAGTTTAACTTAAAAAAGTACTTCAAATACGCCGTCATTTGAAATTATTTTATTTGACATAACTTACGTGCTAGATAATGTTGTAGTAGCTCATTTGAAAGAAAATACTTGATTTAATTAAGTTATGCAATAAAAAGAAAATTAACATCTATCCCATATTATTTAGTCAAAAAAAAAAAAAATTAGGAACTTTTTTTTTTTTAAAAGCAAAAAAGCTTTTTACTCTACAGCTTAAAAGCATACGGTGTGATAATAATGTAAAAATAAGTAGATTTTATAAAAGAATGTTTAAGCTATAAAATGGTATACTAATGTAATTTTTAAAATTTTATTTTTTTGGTATACTAATGTAATTTTTGAAATTATATTTTTTTACTTTTGTCCACCATCTGGCCCGCTGTGCACAATACTCAAAGTAGTTAATTTAAGAAAATACTCAAAGTAGTTAATTTAAGAAAAAAAAAAGAAAAGGTTTAATTTGTCCTTTTAGAAAAAGGAAGTTTGTAAATTTTGTTTTTTTTTCTGAAAATAAAGTTTTTAATAGTTTATTTTAAATTTCAATTCTTTAATTTCCTAATATAAAGCCTAAAATATAAAATAATTCATTTACTTACTATATTAATGTAAATATATAAAAGCAATTTAAAAGTAAATATATAAAAGCAATTTAAAAGTCGAAAATTGTTTTGATATTCACCAATGTTCTGTTGCAAACAAAATTATGTTGCAGAGTTTCTTGAATTTGATCTATTCTCAATGTAAATGTTGCCTAATTGATATAATTGTTGTAAATATTGCAAAAAATGTGGTATAATTTTGTTATTATAATTGCTTATAAATTGTTATCGTGTGTTAAAAAACAAATTTTGGTTTATACAAAAAATGTTTAATGTTTGCGTTTTAGATTGATGTCAAAAATGGTTATGAATAATTTCAATTTGGCAGGAACAAATAAGCTGATTTAAGAAAAAATAGCCTTATGACGATTTTGCGTGGTAAAAAATCATAATTCATAAAGAATTGTTAAAGATTTTTATGTTTATTTTAAGTAGTTCTGACGTTAAACGAAAAAAATCGCATCGGCAGTCATGTTGAATGAGGTAATAACATTACAAAGAATAAGAGGAAATCCTGAAAGAATTTTTGATAATTATAAATGTGATAAGAAAATCTTTACGAAGACGTGCCAAAAAAAAGACCTAATTTTTATATCCGTAAAGAAATATGCATTAATATTTAAATCATGCATTATAATGACATCGTTTCATTTTTTTTTTTTTTTTTTTTTGTAATTAAAACATGATAAATAAAATAGTTTATAAACATTTTTTAATGATAAGGGTACTAAACTGCTTTTGTAAAAAGTTAAATGAATATGTATGAATAAAAAGAAATTTAATTTATTTTCTACTCTAAAACATAATTTTTTTAAATTATGTTAAGAGTAAAAGGTAAATTAACTTTTTTTAAATAAATATTTTTTACATTGCTTTTCTAAAAAATGCCAAATAATATCAAATTTTTATCAATAATGCCAAAAAAATGCCAACCTTTGAAAAAGTAGAAAAACTTTATAAAAATACATTAAACCTCTTTTATTAACTATGTATTCAATAAAATTAATTTATATGTCATATATTCATCAGTTTTAAAATATTTTTAAATATATTTTTCAATAAATAAACGACTTTTAACAAATTATTTATGTATTTCTTAAATAAATAAGTATACCCACTCAACCTTCAATTTAATATAAGTCTAATGTTTAAAGAGATGAGTTAAAAAAAAATTCAAACCAAATTATGTTAAAAGAATAATAAAAAATGTCTTAATATCAAACTTCCTTCAGTTTAAATCATCAATTAAAGTGAGGTCATCTTGAAATAATTCATCATCGTCAAAATATGGGTCCGTTCCCAATTTCGCTAACATTTTATCAGTAATTTTAAAGTTTTTACAACATTTGTCGCGGCTAGCAAGGTAGGCTTTTACTCGCACTACACTGCTGAGCAATTTGTCTGCATTCTGTTTCTTGGTTTTTTTTTATCAAAGGTGACCTGAGAAAAAACACATTCCACAAAAGCGTTTGATATAGGAAGAACAAGACAAGTTAGGCAATAGTCTGTTAGTTCATTAAATGCTGCATCTCCTGATGTATTTTTGTAGTGGCGAACTGCAGTCCAGAACTCAGTTGTATCTTTTGGTATACAAGAATTTTCAAACAGCGCCGATAAAGACCAGTCAACAAAGCTTTTTTTTCTGTACTGATCTTCAATGCATTGTGCTTTATCCTTCATAAGATGTCTTAAAGGCAGATGAGTGAATGTCATTTTAGAACTATGATCCAGAATCATGGTGAAAAAAAAGATAGACTTTGAAAAATTTCTATGTTAGAATATTTGTTTTTTCTTTCTTTTTGGGTCCAAGGATAAGTATCAATATATTTTTGGCAATCTGATAAAAACTTTGCCCCAAAGTCAACACCTTTTAGAAGCAGTTGAACTCCTTAGTTGTCAAGAGCACGCTAATGTAGACTTTTGTAGTGCTAATGTAGACTTTTGTAGTGCAGATTCTGAAACTAGCTTCTCAGGATCCACATTTGTACTTTGAAAAAGATTCAAACACTCAAGTTCTTCAACAATTCGTGGTCAGAAAGACCACACAAAGATAGAGAGTTTCATCTTTAAACACGTTGTTAATTGTAGTAACTCTAACCTAATGCGAGCAGGAACTAGAGCATCAGCACATAAGAAATAGGCTTTTAATTCGTACTAATTAACCATCAAATTGTAAAGGCATTTCCCTCTGACGAACTATTGAGTAGCTGAATACTTTTGAAATCGTGATGGAGTTCCCATCTTTTCATTGCTTAGATCCATTGTCTGAAAAAGTATTTTAAACTCTTCTCGTCGAATAAAACTTTTTGAAAAAAAAATAAAGGAATTTTACTGAGTAGAAACCCGTTGGGAAATGAGTTAGCGACTAGCAAGCGACTAGCTAGCTTTATAGCGATTTTCAAGCGATTTTTTTTTGTTATTTTATTTTTTACTAATGTCTCTAACATCTTTAAATATTCGATTTTTAGTGTTGAGCCTATTATAATTATGAGAATAATTGAATTTTAAACACTGCGGTTTGTAGCAATTTGTCGCTAGCTACCCCGCAGGGTAGCTAGCGATATATATAGTATATATATATAGTACAATTATATATACGATATATATAGTTCATTTATATATATAGTACATAACGATATATATAGTACATAACGATATATATAGTACAATTATATATACAAAGTAATATTTCCCACCGGGGCCCCGGTGGGAAATCGGCTAGCGAATAGCTAGCTATAACCGTAACGATAAAGACAGCGATTTGGCCACGAGGTTTGCTAGCTTTTTTAAGTTAGCGAAAAGCTATCGATTATTGTAAAGATAAAGACAGCGATTTGGCTACGAGGACAGCTAGCTTAATAAGCTGAAGATTCACTGGCTATTGTACCTAGCGTCATAACGTAATAAAATCGTTATCTAAAAAATTTTGATATGTAGCTATCAACCAGCTATAGATTTGTAGATATTTTGTAGCTAGCTACAAAGCTACGATTTCTAACTAGCGACACATTGCTACAAAATCGCAATGTTTAAAGTTCAAGTATCCTCATAATTATAATAGATTTAACACTAAAAATCGAATTTTTAAAGATGTTAAAGGCATTAGGAAAAAATAAAATAGGAAAAAAAAAGTCGCTAGAAAATCCCTATAAAGCTCGCTAGTCGCTAGCTTATTTCCCACAGGGACATATCGTAGCTTTGTAGCTAGCTACAAAATAACTACAAATCTAAGGTTGGTTGATAGCTAAATACCAAAATTTTTCTGATAGCGATTATATTACGATATGACGGTAGCTACAATAGCTTGTGAGTCTTAAGCTTATTAAGCTAGCTGTTCTCGTAGCCAAATCGCTATCAAGTCTTTATCTTACAAATACCGATAGCTTTTCGCTAACTTAAAAAAGCTAGCGATCCTCGTGGCCAAATCGCTGTCTTTATCGTAACGATTAAAGCTAGCTATTTGCTAGCCAATTTCCCACCGGGAAACCAACACTTGATGGCATTAATACAAAGCAATGTTGAACAATAAGATTCAAAGAATGACATGTACAGCGCATTAAAATACAATTAGGAGAGACTGCGCGAACACGAGACTAAAACGAATTGTGTAATTCAATGACATTTGAGCTATATCCAATGCAGTTTTTTAAAGACAATTCAACAGAATTTAATTTTGTTTCTAAAACAGCAAAAAGATCTGCACCAGTGGTTGATATCACAGCAGCTTAACCCAGAAAGTTATCGATAACTGATTTCTGTTGATCTGAATAGTATCGAGCACAAATGCAAAGATGTTTTGTCGAAAAAACATCAGTTGATTAATCAATCAGGATGGAAAAAGGTTGAATTGGAAATTTTTGAACCAATCTGCTATTGATTCACAAATTTCTGATTCAATAGATAAAGAAATTAAATTTTTATTAACCTGGTTTATTTGGTTCGATGCAGACGATGGTTTTCAAGAGGATTATTTTTTCCATAAAGAGAAACAATTTCTCCAAGGTGATCCATTGTTTAAATGGATGCATGACAACACACGCAAAGAGCAAGATGAATATCTGCTTCACAGTCTGCTTTCTTTGATATTAAAGGTAACGTAATTTGGCTTTTTGTGTTAAGATGCTTTTCTCTCGAAGCATGTCTAAACGTACCACTGTGCTGTTCTAGAGAAGATTTCCGTGGTTGTATAGTCATACGACAAAGGGTACAGAATGCTGATTCAGTACCATCAGAGCTTTTTTAAAGCAAAGGATAATCCGTTTCCCATTTTGCAAGGTAATTTCTTGAATTTACTCTCGACATAATTCAACAGTTTTTTCAAAATGCCAACATATTTAAATAATGCCATAAATATGCATCAAAAAATACCATAAATAATAAACTATCTAATAATAATTATATTATAAAATAGAGCGTTGTTATGGAACTCCATAATAAGTTATAATAAGTAAAGTAAAGTATATACGCCTTACTTTATTGTATCTCTATATATTTATTGTATCTATATATTATTTATACCTTACTTTATCGTATCTCTACGTATTTAATGTATCTCTATATATAGAAATACAATAAATCATAAACAAAAACCGAGAAATTTATGTAGATTTTTATATAGAGAAGTTTATTTTACAACAGCAACAATGGAAATTTTTGCTGTTGTAAAATGTATAAGGCCTTTTGAAAATTGCATTTTTTTTAATGTTCGGCTAAACCAAACATTCAGCAAAATAGATGAACGTTTGGTTTTGTCGTTCAGCGCAAAACTAATATACATATATAACAAATACTGTACACGTATTATGTATGTACATATAAAAAAAAAGAAGTTTCTGTTTTTCAATCAAATGCCACTGCTATGCTTAGTTCAATTGTTTATGAGAAGATAACATTGAGTAACATTTTTAAAAAACTAGTAATATTACGACATCTACCTATTTTTAAAACGGGTGAACTTACTTTTAAGAATTGTGAACTTAAAATGACTTTATTCCAATAATTACTGCATTTTTTAATTAAAAACTGTAATTTGTCTGTTTACAGCAGCAGTTTAAGTGTCTGTAAGGATGTATAAAACAATTCGTAAATAAAATTCACCATCATCAGTAAAAGAAGAAACTATTGTGGTAACGCCGGTAAATTTTGGAAATGCACCAGAAAAATTAATATATTGGTTCTTTACTTACAGAGAAATCTTTTCTAAAATAACACACTAAAGCAGAAGAAATATTGAATAAATAACAGAAATTTCAAATACTCTTATTTTTGAAACATAAAAATAACGGTGTTATAAAAAAAATTCCATGAAAACATAAATTAAACAAAATAAATAATTTAATTTTAAATAGATTTAAATATGAGTGGTATTGCGTATTATACCACGTCAAAAACGATGTAAAAAGGTTTTGAATATTGAAAATTGAAATTTACGGCAGTTTCTTTTATCAACAACCTATAATTTCTTAATCAACAGCCTCATTAACTAAAAATATTGTTATAAAGTTACGTACAAATGGAATTTTCTGAAAACCTTTTAATATATTGTTAAAAAACATATTAAACTTATTTAAAGACTTTGTGGATAACCAACAATATAATGATTCTACTAACAAAAACTAATAAATTACTAACAGCAATTTAACTGTCATTACAGAACAATTGGTATATAATATTACAATCGAATTGAACCTAATAAGCTTAGCAAAAAGTATATATTCAATAGTGCATCTATCTAAGTGGATATACTTAATGGAACACTTTTTGCAAAGCATCCTATTTCTTTAATATATTGAGATAATATATATATATATACATATATATATATATATATATATATATATATATATATATATATATATATATATATATATATATATATATATATATATATATATATATATATATATATATATATATATATATATATATATATATATATGTATATATATATATATATATATATATAACATCCATAACATACTTAAGTGCCAAACTAAAGTATGTTCTTGCTTATATCACGTTTGGATTGTTTAGAGAAAGATTAAAATAAATACCTCATTTAGTTAGAGTGTTAACTTCACATAATCATAACTTTTGAACAATTATACATATATTACATAGTCGCGTAGGAAAACATTTTCAGCCAAAGTATTCAATTTTTCTTTCTTTCTTTGAAAAAATAACCTTTCTAAAAAAATGTATATGTATATTTTTTAGGGCTCCTAAATCTTGCAACTGGTCTAATTGCTTGAGGGACCGTAAGTTTTAACAACACTGGCCTTGCAATAGTTAAGACACTTATACTTTACACAAATACAGATATTTATATTAAAAGTTCTAAATTTTATATACCTATATAAAATATCGTAGTTGGTCAAATTAGTGCCGAATTAAGATTTCTAGGGTTCGAAATATTCCTTACCCGGTGGGTCTTTTTCGTATCAAAGTGGCAAAAAAATTTTACAAAAATAAAGCATCCCTTTAAAAATTCAGAGCTTCTAAATCTGCAGGACATGAAGTGCAAAATTTTGTAAAAAAGAACTAAAAATTCTGCCAAATATGTCTTTCAAATAGTCAACCCTTTCTAAGTCTCCTATGGGTATAAGTTCTGCTTACTGCTATATTTCAGCTTTGTCTGAATTCTAGACCTTCAAAATCGATGGCCGGAAATTGAATATTTTTGAGACGTCTCAATTCATGACCGCTTTGACCATAAAAATCAAAGAATGATTTTTATGGTCAAAGCGGTCATGAATTGAGACTAGAAAGACTAGAAAGGGTTTTAATCTTGAGGAAAAAACCTATTATTGATATTTTTAAACTTTACAGGGAAGAAATAACTAAAACTGGGTTGACCAAATGTCCTCGCAAACTAAATATTACTTAAAGTTTCACTTTTTTGCATTACTGTTATACAAGATCCTCTCAATGTTATTCTACAATATAAGTAAATTTATTATTAAATATAGATTACTTTTTATTTAACTTTAAAATATGTAGTTTAAACTTTATTTTATATAATTTATTTATGTTACTTTATTTATGTAACTCATTTTCATTTAAAAGTTTTTTTTTTTTAATTACGGTAATATAATTTTTTTTTAATAAGTTATTTTTTTATAAGTAAATTTAATTTACAATTTGAGAAACTATACTATGTAATATAGTATACAATATATTTAATACAATACTATGTAATATAGTTTTAAAAAGTAATTAAATTTTAAAAGTAAATGTAAAAAACTTTTTCATGTGATGGAAACAATTATATATTATATAAACTAGATATCTAATTGCGGGGTTTTATTGGACGAAAAATGAAGCAGCTTCATTTTTCGTCCAATAAATGTGTCCGCTTCTAATAGCCTACCATATTTAAAAAATCAAAAGCTGAAGCCAATGTGTGGAATAAAACTTAAAAGTGAAAGTCATAAGTTCTCAATAACTTAAAGATAATTCGAAAACACATTTTAATATTTATTAACTACTTATAAAAGTTTTTTAATGAGCTTATGTTTATTAAAAAGTATTATAGTTCATAAAAATGCTTCAAAAGCGTCTGTCGTTTCACTTTTCTATTCAAAACTTTAATCGGAAATGAATTAAGGAATCATAAACTATTTTTTTTTTGCAAGTATTTCTTCTTAACCCTTTGTATCGCCATGTCACAAACCTATTTAATGCTTACAAAATCCAGTGTTAGCGTTTTAATTTGTACTTATAAGGCATTGTGACATAAATGTCACACTCTCATTTTTTATAAATTTTGCTCATGAAAAAATAAAATTTCGAAAAACAAAAAAGTATGTGTTAATATTGGTTAATATGTGTTACTAAAAGCTATCAAGAATACTTCATAAAATATTTTTAGGAGATATTGCGATTCGAAAGGTTAGCACTTTTACATAAATAGAATTTATGTTAAAAATATATTTATTTTATTTAAGAAAAGAAAAGTTAAATCATATTTCTTAACATATTTAATCCACCATTTATAAAAAGGGCAAAAGCGGCTTTACTTTTGGATCGAATTTAGACATCTAGTTTATAAAATATATCAATGGACAGGAATAATATCATTTGCTCTTTTGTGCCGCGGTTGTTATTGGCTATTTTTTTTTAGTTTTTTTAGTTTTGGGTTTAATTAAAGCGATTTCCCACAAGACAAAATATTCGCGCATACCGAATTTTTTCGTTGATGACCATGCGCAAATAAAAAATTTCTGATCTTATTTGTTTTATGTATTAGGGTTTCGCAATTTACGAACAATCCCTGTAAAAGTAAATTATCTTTTCATGAAACTTACTTTTACATAACTTACTTTTGAAAGTAAAAAAACTTAGGGTAGATTAGGGTAAAATGAGCACCTTAAGCAAAAATTGGAATATTTTCAAAAATAAACATGCTGGATCCAAAATTTTTGCAAATAAACAATTTTTAGGGATCCCTATTCATTATCTATTTAGATATTTGGGCACTTGACATTTTTTCTTAAAAACACAGAGGTTTTAAAAAAGTAGCAAAAGTGCTCTTATTACCCTTACCCCTTGGTAATATGAGCACTTGGTAAAATGAGCACTTGGTCATATGAGCACTTGGTAATATGAGCAGTTGGTCATATGAGCACTTGGTAATATGAGCACTTGGTTATATGAGCACTTGGTAATATGAGCACTTGGTAATATGAGCACTTGGTAATATGAGCACTTGGTAATATGAGCACTTGGTCATATGAGCACTTGGTAATATGAGCATTTGGTCATATGAGCACTTGGTAATATGAGCACTTGGTCATATGAGCACTTGGTAATATGAGCACTTGGTTATATGAGCACTTGGTAATATGAGCACTTGGTAATATGAGCACTTGGTCATATGAGCACTTGGTAATATGAGCACTTGGTCATATGAGCACTTGGTAATATGAGCACTTGGTCATATGAGCACTTGGTAATATGAGCACTTGGTCATATGAGCACTTGGTAATATGAGCACTTGGTCATATGAGCACTTGGTAATATGAGCACTTGGTAATATGAGCACTTGGTAATATGAGCACTTGGTAATATGAGCACTTGGTCATATGAGCACTTGGTAATATGAGCCCTTGGTAATATGAGCACTTAGTAATATGAGCACTTGGTCATATGAGCACTTGGTAATATGAGCACTTGGTCATATGAGCACTTGGTAATATGAGCACTTGGTCATATGAGCACTTGGTAATATGAGCACTTGGTCATATGAGCACTTGGTAATATGAGCACTTGGTCATATGAGCACTTGGTAATATGAGCACTTGGTAATATGAGCACTTGGTAATATGAGCACAAATTAGCTCAAAAAAATAACATTAGTTAAATAAAAAAAGGCCAACCTGCTTAATAGAACTAATTGTTGGAATATAAGGATTCGTGATTAACAAAACATATAATTAAAAGATCAAATTTTAAGCTACATTTTGTTGAAACAATACTACCATATTTTCCGCCAAAAAAAAAAAAATTAATACATTGTTTTTTCAATTTTGTTAACTCAAACCTTTGAACAATAAAAATTAAAATTTTTTAGATTTAAGTTACAGAAAAATATTTAGTATTGTTAATATATTAAATTTTTTTACTATGTTTTGTTTTTATTCAAGAAGCAATTAAAAACCACCGCTATTTTAGGACTTTAAACTAAACAATTTCAATGAAAAGCACTGGGTAATTTGAGCATGCTCATATTACATAAAAATGGTATCTTTAAATAAAGTCAAAAATAAATGTTTTTATGCATTGTTTTTCAAACAAAAATGAATTGGATTTTTAGCTAATATATTTTTCTTTATGAAAAAATTAATTTCATTATTTTAGCACCAAAATATCGCGCCACAAAATTATTCACGCGTGATGATTTTTTTTAACAAAGCAAAAAATTTAAAAGCGTTTTAATTAGATGATATCCGCAAATTACTGCGTATAAATTTACGCTAATTATACTGATTCCTGTTATCACCACATAAAGTCGATTCGAAAAACATAACTATATAATTATATAATCATAAATATATCAAAATATATACTATATAATCATAAATATATCAAAATATATACATAAATATATCAAAATATGATAAATATATCATAAAGATATAATTTTTATATCCGAGAAATGCTTTTTTAATTCGTAAAAGCTTACCGTTGTCTCTTCAAGTAATACACGAAGATGAACACATTCTTGCAATAAAAGGTTCATTTGGCGACAGTGTTTTTATTTTTATTGGAGTTTATCTTACTTCATGCAGAAATACTTCTGAATCCTTAGAAAAATATGTCTCAACTTTGTTTGATAAACTCCATCATTAACACATATGAAGATGAAGGAGAATGTATAACTGCAGGCGATTTTCAGTCATTTCCAGAAAATATATAGGATACGGAAATCCGCAACAATAAAATACGAAATATCTTTTCTAAGTATTTATCCAATTTTCTGAATAATTCGCTTAAATAAAAACGCTGAATAATTCATCTTATATCGATCACATTGCAGTACTAAAAGAATCATTAATATGCTTTTCTGGCTGCCATGTTATTCCTCCTTCGCATCTAAACATGAGTGATCACTTACCCTATCACTACAAATATTAATCTTCAAAATAAAAGTCTAACACCAGTTGTAAATAGTATTCTCAAAAAATATAGTACAATCCCAAAGTATGCATGGAATGATAATAACTTTATTAAAATTTATAATCAGAATCTCTCAGATTTTTTCAAAGATTACACTTTTATTGGAGAAGAAATAGAGAAACAATCTCAAACAACATGTGAAAAAATAAACAACGCTGCTATTTTAGCAATGGAAGACTGTTTTCCACAAAAAGAATCAGGAGCTTACACTAAATCATGGTGGACACCAGGAATTAAATCGTGCAAAGATACTCTCTCTTTCAACTTTAAAGAATGGAAAAAAGATAACTTTAGTAGATCGCAGGAATGCAGTTCATTTAACAAGTATAAGCTAGCTCGAAAAAATTTCCGCAAAATTGTAAAAGCGGCTAACAACTTAAAAATTAATAAAATCACCAAAAATATTGAATCTCTTCGAAAAAGTAATCCACAAAAGTTTTGGATATCCGAAATATCAATATCCGAAGATATCAATATCCGAAGATATCAATATCCGAAGATATCAATATC